AGCAGCCCAGGTCCAACCCTGAGATGAATGACTAGAGCAACTACAGAAATTCAAGTCCGATCAGATAAATAAACAGCTTCGCTCGATTTAGTTCAGCTATGAAGATTTTACAGTTTCAGCTAGTCTTAAACGTACAGATCTGGCTGTGCTTGAGTCAATCAACCTTCCTAAAATGACAATCGAAAAGTGGAGACTTCAGCAGTTACAGGTCCAACCCTGATATGCCAGTAAAGCAGCTCAGAATTAGTGACAGTTCTCAGGTCCAACCCTGAGATAAGACCAAAGCAGTTACAGCAGCCCAGATCCAACCCTGAGATGAATGACCAGAGCAGCTACAGAAATTCAAGTCCGATTAGATAAATGAACAGTTGCACTCGATTTAGTTCAGCTATGAAAATTTTACAGTTACAGCTGGTCTTAAACGTACAGACCTTGCTATGCTTAAGTAAAGCAACCCTCCTAAAATGACAATCGAAAAAGTACAGACTTCAGCAGTTACAGGTCCAACCCTGATATGCCAGTAAAGCAGCTCAGAATTACAAACGCACGAAAGTGACAGTTCTCAGATCCGTTCTCGAGGTAAGACCAAGCAGCTACAGCAGTCCAGGTCCAACCCTGAGATAGATGACCAGAGCACTTCCGAAATTCAGGTTCAAACAGATAAGTGGACCGTTGCAATTATCAAGGCCATGCTGAGAGGAACTGAATCTCAAGAGTGCGAACTATTAAGCGAGAATCGGGTCGAGTTCAAACCTGAAGGCACAATTTTGTATATCCATAGGTACAGATGAAGCAGTTCCCAGGTCCAACTCTGAGATGAAATCCAGAGCAATTACATGAATTTCGGTCCAACCCAGTGAAAAACCAATAAAATTGCTCGGATCCTGCAGAGGGGCCTGTTCTATACACAGATCAACTCCTCATTGCGCAAAGGTAGTAGAGCAATTCTCGTGTCCTAACTAATGAGTTAGCATTAATCATAAAAGGTCGAATCAGAGTCAAGGATTCGTGACCGTTCTCTGAGTTGAGCAGACCTAGTAGGAAAAGAAGGTTGTTGCGGCCCGGTGCGTAGTTCCCATTGTTCTTCCTCCTCTGAGGGGGGGGGGGGGGGGGGGGGGGGGTT